CAAACTGGGAAAATACTCATAGCAAATATTATAGGCAAACAGGGAATATTATCATATAATCAATACAAAGTTATTTAAGACAAAAAGGGAGCAAAAATTATGTAGAAATTCTCAAGAGGAAATATAGTTAGTAAATAGTATTCAGCTTCATAACTTAAAAAATCAGATTAGACTATCAATAAAAACATATTTCTTATAGAAGCATATATAATATTCAAAAACAGTGGTAATATCCAGTGCTATCTGTGGTTCAATTATACCCATAGATTATTGGAAAAAGCATATAAAGTAGTATAGCCATTTTGAAAAGTAGTTTGATAATTTGTATCAAGAAGCTAAAGTGTTACTTTGATCCAATAATTGTCTTTGATTCTCTCCCAAGAAAATAATTCTGGATATTGAAAATCTTTATAAAGATATTTAAAGTAGTCATTTGTGATAACAAATATTCCATCTTAAACTGAAGGTTAAGTAAATTTTGGTCATTAGTTTGATAAATATTGGGAGCTGTCAAAAATTGATATTTTTATAAGGACTGTTTTAGGGTAGGTAAATGTATGTAACATTAAGTTAATAAAGGAGACATTGTAAATGAGTATAACTACAAATAATAAGAGCAAAACAATTCATGGGTAAAATTTTAAAAGGATGGATTTAAAAAGAATATAGTGGACATTTACTTTTAAGCTCAATCAAGGTTTTAAGTATTTTAGAAACATCTGAAGGTTGCTTCTGAGACATATATTTGTATGGTGCTCTTTATAAAGTTGGTGTGTAGGAGGGAGCCACTTTTGTTGGTGACTGTAGCCAGCTGCCCAGACCCTGTACATCAGTTTTTCCTTTCTCTGCACTTTCTCACATAAATATCCAGGAGGAGGATATATGCTGTTGTTCTGTTACTTGAGAATTTGGAGATTCATAAATTTCTGAGATACTGCTGTGCAAATTCCAATGCTCCGCTGGCCAGTAGTTGCCTCTGTGTTATAGGGTTATATAATTTCCCCTCTTTCTAACATTTCTCTGACTTCTAAAATATCTTTAATGAACATGGTCTTATCTTAAAAGCTTTTTTCCAGTTACCAGTTAATAATCTTTGCATTAAACTCTTCACCCTGAGGTAATATGTTCTGCTTTTCCTATAATGTCCCATCTGCTGTTAATCCCATCCAGACATTATACATTTTAACTGACTTGTCTTACTTTATTATCCATGTCTATTTGACATGGTCAGTCTATTTTGATGGGGGAACATATCAAATACACTTACAGTAAATGTTGTGAAGTCCTTGTCTAAAAGTGTTATACTCTGTGCCATTGGTTCATACTTAGCATTTAATGGGAAAATACACAAATGCAAAAACACATTTTTAACATATATAAGTTATAATACTGCCCATTAAATTTAAGAATTAGTGTATTAAAGTAACATAGTATCTGCTACTTCTGCTAATTTTTCCAAATGTTGTTAGTGTTTCTGTGTATCCCAAATAATATATCATTTAGTCTTATATTTCTCAGTATGAATTACTTGTTGCTGTGTGTGTTTTCTAAAACTTGTTCTTGTTCCTTAACATCGTGTTACTGAGATTCATTGTTATTGATATTTATACCATATGTATATACCTGTCATTTGTTTACTTTTACTCCTCTATAGTAGTACTTGGGATGAATATATTACACATTTTTTTTTTTCTTTTGTTGATGGTTATTTGGGTTTTCAGCTTTGTTTTTAAAAGTGCTACTATGAACATTCTTGTACATGTCTTCTGATACATGTATATAAAAACATCTCTGTGGTATGTGCCTAGGAATGGAATATTTTGGTCATGGGGGATACATATATGAAACCTTATCAGATAGTCCCATATTGTTTTCCAAACTGGTTTTTACTAACTTATAATGTTGCTATTTATATATACATACGTGTGTGTATATATACATGCACATATATACATTTGTGCACATGTACATATATCCCTATGTGTGTGTGTTACTGTTGCAATGAACACTGTAATAAATGCCTTCCTGCTCAAATATATTCACCTTTTTCTTCTTTTTAAAAATTATTATTTATTCCCAGAAGCAGAATCATTGATTCAGAGGATGTGATTTTTTTTTTTTCTAGTAGGCTAGCCACCTTATTTTAATTTTTGGTATTATTTTTCTTAACTTCTATTTACTTTTTAAAATTTAGTTTTATTTATTATGAAAGTTATACATGTGTAATATACTCAAATAGCTACAAGGTTTTTTAAAAATGGCAATGCTCTGCCCTCTTCCTGGCCTCATTTACTCTTTCTCAGAGGCAAACTTTTCAGTCTTTTTCAGCTAATTATTTTAGTGTTTGCCTCCATATCTGTAAATAATCTGCTTACGTTTATACTTTTTAATTTTTAACTTCTTTGACTCCCCATTATGGAGCGTGAAGATTTACCCTCCTCATTTCTTTCAGCTTCCAGCACCAACCCCATTTCATAACGTGCTTTTCTCATTCATCTGGTTTCTTCTAAATAAATAATTTAGTGCTAACATTGTTGTGAAACATAAGTGCATAGCTGAATTCTTTAGCAAACTATAGTTGTACTTCTTTTTGTTTTCTTTTAAACAAAGGAGGAGGCTAGTAAAAGAAGGGACAGCGGGCTAGGCGCGGTGGCTCACGCCTGTAATCCCAGCACTTTGGGAGGCCGAGGCGGGTGGATCACGAGGTCAGGAGATCAAGACCATCCTGGCCAAAATGGTGAAACCCCATCTCTAGTAAAATACAAAAAATTAGCCAGGCATGGTGGCGCACACTTGTAGTCCCAGCTACCCGGGAGGCTGAGGCAGGGGAATCACTTTGAACCCAGGGGGCAGAGGTTGCAGTTTGCTGAGATTGTGCCACTGTATTCCAGCCTGGCAACAGAGCAAGACTGAGTCTCAAAAAAAAAAAAGAAAAAGAGGGGACAGTGAGGATTTTGAAATCAATAAAGACATTTTCTATTGCAAAATAGGAGAACATGTTAGTCAGCGTGAAGCCAGAGGTTCATGAATGGAAGGACGACTATAATAAACTAGAATATACCAGAATGTTTATTCTGGTAGCCATGTGTACTATTAACTAGAATATTGAAAGTCTAGTGAAATGACTGATGTGCTTGAACTCCCTTTTATCTAATCTAGTAGATTAAATATTTCTCATGTTAAGTACACCAAGAGATAATTAATATCATTTATTTTCCACTAAAAGCAGTAGTCTCATAGTTTTCTCCTAAGGAGATGATAAATACATTAAATTCAAATAGATCAATTTCATTTCCTGCTTCATTGTTGTGGTATATGAAGGGATCCAACAGGTATTTGTATTAAGTGGCTAGTAAGTTAATTTTGGCTGTGCACTCCACATTTATTAAGGTTTAATTGTCATGATGTGAGTAATGCTGCCATATTTCAAAGTTTGGCATTATATATATTTTTAAAAATTCACATATTTTTAGAAGTTAAACTAGTTATTTAATACTTTCGTTGTTCTAACCTGGGCAAATTTTATGAAGAGTTATATCTGTTATGATTTTTACATCTTTACCCTTTCACTGAGCAAATTGGAAGAATATTGGAGGAATACTCACTCTTTGAATATAAGCTCTTTTCTTTCAAGGCTTTTCAGATTGGCCTGGGATTGTCTACTGAAAAGACTGTGTCAGAAAAACCAGGATTTAAATTCTGCTTTACCAGTTACTAGCCAAGTGAATTTGTTCAGATGACTTAAATTCTTTGGGTTTTAGTATCTTCATCTAGGTATGATGATATTTCTAGCAAGATTGTTTAGAAAATTACAAATAACAGAGGCATTAAAGTAATATATACCTTGTACCTAGCTTAATGTATTATACATGCTACATCTTTAAAAATGCTAGTCATTGTTATTAGAATCATCATCATCATTTTGTTCTTGGCTCCGGTCTTTAGATGTGCTTAACAAAGAGCAGACGTATAAAAACTTGTACCACTGATAGTGATTGTATGCATCAGATAAGTGGGAAGGGAAAATTTAGTATCATAATCCCTCTGTTCTTCTGTGGTGAGGGGCAGATGCTGGGGGTTGTTACTACATTTCTTTTCTTTTTTTTTTTTCCTCTGTTGCTACATGTCTCTTACTGAAAAGTAGGTTTGTGGAATAATTAGTAACTAAAATAATATAGACCTTTCTCCCTCCGAGCTGTTAGAGCCCTTTGCACTGCAAATCTAGCATGTTGTTTGGTTACTTCTTAAGGTGAGTGATTGTAAATGTGGTTTGGATAACTGGGGAGGTGGGAGCTGGTGGTGGTTTTACAATGTGATGAAGGCCTCTTTTTTGCTTTTAAAAATACTGGGGCCCAGCTACTCAAGAGGTCAAGATGGGAGGATCACTTGAGGCCGGGAGTTTGAGACCAGCCTGAACAACATAGAGAGACCCTGTCTCTTAAAAAAAAAAAAAAAAGAAAATAGTTGGGCGTGATGCCAGGTACTGGTAGTACCAGCTACTTGGGAGGCTAAGGTGGGAGGACTGCTAGAGCCCAGGAGCTTTGAGACTATAGTGAAATATAATCACATGTGTGAGAGTCCACTACACTCCAGCCTGGGCAGTATATTGAGACTCCTCCATCTCTTAAAAACAACAACAGCAGCAGCAAAAAAAACTGTAGTTGCATCTTGAGAATTTTCTGAAAATATGAGAATATTTATTTACTTAAAAATACTAAATTTGACACTTTTAAATGTGATCTCTTGACATTTCCTTAAACTTGTAATAATCATCGTTTCTATTCTTGTCTTACCAAATCTGTCTTATTTGGAGCATTTAACTCCAGCATAAATTACTTATTAAATAGAAAATATTTGGGAAACTGTATTTTTTAAAATATGGATTTTGAAAGGCAATCCTCTTTAATAGCCTTTTTTTTTGAGAAGTTATACGTCTTTTAATACCTTGATATTTATTCAGTATTGAAATATTTGAATGTGTGTGTTTTTGTTTTAAACAGATTATCTTTCTCAAGGAATAGATCTTTCTGGAATAGAAGTGATAGAAAATGACCTACTTTTTATTGCAAGAGCCCGACTTGAAGTGGAAAATCAAGCTAAGCGCCTACTAGAGCAGGGTTTGGAGACTCAGGTAATAAAAATAAGACTTTTTTAATGTGAAAAAATGTCTCATAATACAGGTGAACATTTGACTTTGAGTTCAAATAAGTAATATATGTCTTCATTTTATCACTGAGAAAGTATGTCTACAATTTAAATCAGAGAATAGGTCATAGTTAAGGGAAATCTTAATATATGTTCAGTATATTTAATTTAAAAATAGACCTAATGTTTCTAATGTATAATGTATATAACATGAAATGTATTTTTTATGATGTGCATATATAGATAGATAGCTGACCATGCATGCTTTGTCTAAAGCGTGGTTCCTCATTTAAGCCTTTCAACAACCCAGTAAGATTGGTATTATTGTTAATTTTATTTTACAGTTGAAGAAACAGAACTTAAATAAGTTGTTGAAAATCACATAGCTAGTAAATTAGTTTGGATTCAAATTTTAATCACTCGAGTCCCAGAACTTTTCAATCTTAATCATTATGCCATAATTTTAAAAATTTTTGACTTGACATTTCTCCTAGGGTATCATTTTCCTGATGCTTAATTTTCTGAATTAGAAGAAATTCAAAGGTATTGATGTATTAGATTCAACAACTTAGAATTAGATCTTAAATCTACCCTTGTATTATACCCAGGTATTTTCTCCATTTGTATTGGGCTCCAAAATAATTATTAATCCTTAGAGTTTTTTCATATCCTCTAAACCAGGAATTTCATTTTGTGCATTTATATTAGGCAGAAATAATGTTATTAATGTGCTGTTCTTTAAGTAGCCTCTAAATCAGGAAGGTACTTGACTTCTGATTCCTAAATAGTTGTAATTTTTAAAATATAACTGAATCAGGTAGTTATTCTTTTAAAATTGAATATTATATGCAAAATGAAAAGTGAACAAATCATAAACTTTCATATAGAATGAATACCACAGTGTGAACATACCCGTGAAATCAAAACCAGGTCAGAAATGGGACATTACCAGTACTCCTAGAGTTTCTTTGCCCTCTCTCGCAATTTTTACTCTCTTCTGTCTTCCCCCAAAATAATTATTATTCTAACTTCTAACATTAGAGATTACTTTTAGTTGTTTGGTCAATTATGTTTTAACTCTAGGTCTCCGTATAAGGATGGAACTCTTACACTGTTTAAAAAAAAAAATAGAGTATTTCTCTACATTAAATAAGAGAAGATACCTTTTTTAGATCCTCAAAAGAGAAGGAAAAGATAACTCTATTAATCAAACATTTTGCCCTGAATTTCAAAACAAGAAAGGGCAGTTGCCTTCCTAAAGAAGTGGCGTCTGGGTTTGACTTTGTAGCCCTCCATCCTATAAGAATTATGCCTTTTTTTGGGATTTTATACAGGGGATTTATTTTCTATAACATATTGTCCTCTTCCTCATATGGTTGCTTTTATCTCCTAATCCTTTTGTGTCTGCCATCTCTAGGACTTCAGCAGTACTGTTTTCTCTCCATTCTAAATCCCATCATCGTGGATGTTACCAATACCTATGGAGGTGGTTATTCTTATATGTTGGGCTCACAGTAGTTTGACATCTACTAGCCCAAAGTTGAGTCTAATGCCCTTCCCTTCCATCCTATTTCAGTATCTTTCCCTCCTTATTAATGTTGAATATTGTCATTAGCATTTGGTCTAAGTCTTCAGTGTCTCTTCCTTTGACTGTAAATTCCTATTTTTTCTGCCCTCCCACTCCCTTGTTCCTGTTATAACTCATAATTCTTTTATTAACCTAAACCTTCAGTCTCTTGGCCGGGCACAGTGGCTCACATCTGTAATCCCAGCACTTTGGGAGGCCGAGGCAGGCAGATCACCTAAGGTTGGGAGTTCGAGACCAGCCTAACCAACATGTAGAAGCCCCATCTCTACTAAAAATACAAAATTAGCCAGGTATTGTGGTGCACTCCTGTAATCCCAGCTACTCGGGAGGCTGAGGCAGGAGAATTGCTTAAATCTGGAAGCCGGAGGTTGTGGTGAGCCGAGATCTTGCCATTGCCCTCCAGCCTGCGCAACAAGAGCAAAACTCCATCTCAAAAACAAAACAAAACAAAACAAAACAAAACCATCAGTCTGTTAAGTCATCTATAGCATAAATGCCTTTACTACTCGATGGTTTTCTACTCTGTCAACCTCATATCTGTCCCCTTCTCTGGCTCTACTTATTTTTTTGTATTAAATTGATCAAAGATGAGTCTCTTCAACTATTCACCTAACTAATGATTCTCAAACTTCACCACGCATCAGAATTGATGGGAGGACTGGTTAAACACAGACAGCTGAGCCCAACACCCAGAATTTCTGATTCAGTAGATCTGGTACCAAGAACCATTGCTCTTGATGATACCCTCAAATTCTCTCACCTTTGCCTTTCTACTACTCCTGCACAGCAAAATGCCATCTGTGGACCATGCAACATTTATCCCTATTTTACTTCTATGCCTAGGCTTGTCATTGCTCTTAAAAAACAAAAACAAAACAACACAAAACACAGACAACTGTAAGATTGATGTAACCAAAATTTACGATTCTGAGATGCAGCTGGGTTTCAATTACTTTTTTTTTTAAGTTATTACATCTTTATTGCTTTAATTTTTTATTATACTTTAAGTTCTAGGGTACATGCGCACAACGTGCAGGTTTGTTACATATGTATATATGTGCCATGTTGGTGTGCTGCGCCCATTAACTGGTCATTACATTAGGTATATCTCCTAATGCTACCCCATCGCCCCTCCCCCCACCCCACGACAGGCCCCAGTGTGTGATGTTCCCCTTCCTGTGTCCAAGTGTTCTCATTGTTCAGTTCCCACCTATGAGTGAGAATATGTGGTGTTTGGTTTTCTGTTCTTGTGATAGTTTGCTGAGAATGATGGTTTCCAGCTGCATCCATGGTATGTTCATCCATGTCTTGTGCCAGTTTTCAAAGGGAATTTTTCCAGTTTTTGCCCATTCAGTATGATATTGGCTGTGGGTTTGTCACAAATAGGTCTTACTATTTTGAGATACGTTCCATCAATACCGAATTTATTGAGAGTTTTTAGCATGAAGGGCTGTGGAATTTTGTCAAAGGCCTTTTCTGCATCTATTGAGATGATCATGTGGTGTTTGTCTTTGGTTCTGTTTATATGCTGGATTACATTTATTGATTTGCATATGTTGAACCAGCGTTGCATCTGAGGGATGAAGCCCACTTGATCATGGTGAATAAGCTTTTTGATGTGCTGCTGGATTCAGTTTGCCAGTATTTTATTGAGGATTTTTGCATCGATGTTCATCAGGGATATTGGTCTAAAATTCTGGTTTTTTTGTTGTATCTCTTCCAGGCTTGGTATCAGGATGAAGCTGGCCTCATAAAGTGAGTTAGGGAGGATTCCCTCTTTTTCTATTGATTGGAATAGTTTCAGAAGGAATGGTACTAGCTCCTCCTTGTACCTCTGGTAGAATTCGGCTGTGAATCCCTGGTCCTGGACTCTTTTTGGTTGGTAGACTATTAATTATTGCCTCAATTTCAGAGCCTCTTATTGGTCTGTTCAGGGATTCAACTTCTTCCTGATTTAGTCTTAGGAGAGTGTATATGTCCAGGAATTTATCCATTTCTTCTAGGTTTTCTAGTTTATTTGAGGAGAGTTGTTTATAGTATTCTCTGATGGTAGTTTGTATTTCTGTGGGATCGGTGATGATAACCCCTTTATCGTTTTTTATTGCGTCTATTTGATTCTTCTCTCTTTTCTTCTTTATTAGTCTTGCTAGCAGCCTTTCAATTTTGTTGATCTTTTCAAAAAACCAACTCCTGGATTCATTGATTTTCTTGAAGGGTTTTTTGTGTCTCTGTCTCCTTCAGTTCCGCTCTGATCTTACTTATTTGTTTCCTTCTGCTAGCTTTTGAATATGTTTCCTGTTGCTTCTCTAGTTCTTTTAATTGTGATGTTAGGGTGTCAATTTTAGATCTTTCCTGCTTTCTCCTGTGGGCATTTAGTGCTATAAATTTCCCTCTACACACTGCTTTAAATGTGTCCCAGAGATTCTGGTATGTTGTATCTTTGTTCTCATTGGTTTCAAAGAACACCTTTATTTCTGCCTTCATTTTGTTATGTACCCAGTAGTCATTCAGGAGCAGGTTGTTCAGTTTCCATGTAGTTGAGCAGTTTTGATTGAGTTTCTTAATCCTGAGTTCTAGTTTGATTGCACTGTGTTCTGAGAGACAGTTTGTTATAGTTTCTGTTCTTTTACATTTGCTGAGGAGTGCTTTACTTCCAGTTATGTGGTAAATTTTGGAATAAGTGCAATGTGGTGCTGAGAAGAATGTATATTCTGTTGATTTGGGGTGGAGAATTCTGTAGATGTCTATTAGGTCTGCTTGGTGCAGAACTGAGTTTAATTTCTGGATATCCTTGTTAACTTTCTGTCTCATTGATCTCTCTGATGTTGATAGTGGGGTGTTAAAGTCTCCCATTATTGTTGTGTGGGAGTCTAAGTCTCTTTGTAAGTCTCTAACGACTTGCTTTATGAATCTGGGTGCTCCTGTATTGGGTGCATATATATTTAGGATAGTTAGCTCTTCTTGTTGAATTGATCCCTTTACCATTATGTAATGGCCTTCTTTGTCTCTTTTGATCTTTGATGGTTTAAAGTCTGTTTTATCAGAGACTAGGATTGGAACCCCTTCCTTTTTTTATTTTCCATTTGCTTGGTAGATCTTCCTCCACTCCTTTATTTTGAGCCTATGTGTGTCTCTGCTCATGAGATGGGTCTCCTGAATACAGCACACTGATGGGTCTTGACTCTTTATCCAATTTGCCAGTGTGTGTCTTTTAATTGGAGCATTTAGCCCATTTACATTTAAGGTTAATATTGTTATGTGTAAATGTGATCCTGTCATTATGATGTTAGCTGGTTATTTTGCTTGTTAGTTGATGCAGTTTCTTCCTACTATCAATGGTCTTTACATTTTGGCCTGTTTTTGCAAGTGGCTGGTACCGGTTGTTCCTTTCCATGTTT